AAAGCTTAATTTAGTGATAATTTCGAATAAATAAAAATTACTCTTGGAGAGTTAAAAGACTCATTATAATTTAAATTAAGTATAGATAATCCGAATCTTTAAACTATAGACTAATAAAAAAAATTTACTTTAGAATTATGTTAAGAATTTCTAATTTTGGATAAGCTATAAGGAAATGTTTCTTGTAATTTTAATAATAATGAAATAACAATAAAATTAGATTCTTAAAATTGTATAATAAATAAAGGAGATTAAATAGTAATGTAATCTAAAAAATTATAATTAATCTATAATACAGATAAAGTTACAAACTTCTTAACGAAAATTTCAAAAGCAGTAGAATATAGTTCAAATCCAATGAAGGCTGAGGCAAAAACGGTTTCACCAGAAAATATATATAAACATTAAGAAGTAAAAATCGAAATTACTGAAATTAAAAATATAGGAAATAAACCATTTAAATCAATTAAATGGTCATTACAATCATGCTCAATTTTAAATAAAAGCGAAATAGATTAGTTTAATGCTAAGTTTATTGATAAATAATAAGATAAGACTGTTTTAATTTTACCACCTTTTTCGTTAGTAGATGAGGCAGAATATTAATTTGATGTTAATGCAGTTTCATTTTATGAATAAAAATATACTAATAGGGCAATTATAAATGTTTTTTCTGACTATAATATTAAGCTAGAAATATAATATGGATCAAATGTAATTTATAGATACTAAGAAATTAAAATAGAGTGTAGTTTTATTACTTTTAAGTATGTATTAGGTTAAGGTTTTAATTAGAAAGCAGATGATGAATATGAACTTTTAATTGAACAAATAGATAATTTGCATTAGGATTTGGGAATAAAATAATTACTAAGACTTAAAGAAAATGTCTATTCATTCTCTATAAAGCCTTTTAAGGTAGAGCCAAATACTACTTATAATATAAAAATTAAAGTTAAATCGATTAATTTTAAAACTTCTAATACTGAATAAATATTAACATTTTAAGTAAAATAAAGTGATTTAACTGTTTAAATTTAAGGAGCAAGTAGGATTTAATCTTTTTCTTAACCTATTATTTTGGAAGGTTATATAAATGATTCAGATTTAAATGAATAAGAAAAATAAATAGCAATAAAAAACAATTTCGGAGCAACAATAAAATGGATTTGTACTAATTTAAGTGATGGAGCAAAATAATGTTTAGATAAATTAGGTAATATTATTAATTTATAATAAAAAACCACAATCGAAATTGGAAAAAGCGTTCTAAATCCTTATTGCGTTTATAAATTTGAATTTGAAGCTAAAAAGGGAACTCAAACTTTTTCTTATAGTGTGTAAATCTAAGTAGTTGAGTATGATGTACCTCCTTTAAAAGCTAGTACATCGATTAAAGATTTATCTAAAACAATAAACTTGAATTAATAAATTTATTTTAAATTATAATATGATGAATCTAAATAAAATGTAGATAATATTTTTTTTAACGGGGTTATTTTATATAATAACAATAAATCAAAAAATGCAATAAAAATTTCTTATAATTAAGTTAGACTTAAAATTTGGAATTATTTAGATAATTTTTAAAATGAAGGTGATAATTAATTTTAAATAAGACTTTCTGCTTACGATCCTATGTATTTAATGCCTGCTATATTAACTTATAATTTATTTGCAAATACCTAACGTTTAAATTGTAGATTTTAAGAACAAAATAATAATTTTTAAGGAGAAAGTTTAAAAACGAAATTTAATTTTATTATTAGTGATTGTTCAGACAAAGATATTCAACTTTATTATTCTTTTTACTTCTATAAAAATCAAGATTAATATTAAGAAGAAATTATAAATGGATTTTAAGTTAAAAGATAATCATTAGTAGAAAATTAAAAGTCTAATAATTTTGAAACTGTGTTACCTTTTGGAGCAGGTTTATTATTATGCAAAATCTAAGATAATTTTATGGGAATAAAGAATATAACTTAAACAATTGACATAAAATAAAGTTATACAAATGTAAATGAATATGTTACATATATTAATTAAGTAATTGAAGAACATAAATAATAAAATTTTAAAAATGAAAAAGAATAATATCATTTTCTGAATAATGTTTTGAATGATATTATTAATCAAAATTAATTTCAAAGTTTGAAAAATAATGACATAATCTAAAAAATATAAAAGCATATTTTAGATGAATTATTATTTATTTAAAATAAATTTTAGATAAATGATGGTTATAAATTATATGTATAGGAGTCTATAAAAAAGATTTTTAAAAATTTTGTAGAAGTCATTACATAAACATCGTCATACAATGATATTGAAAATTATATTAATTATGTGTAATAATAATTAGAAAGTTAAAAAGAAATCATTTAAAATATTCCAGTTCAAAAAGCAGAATAATTTGAAATATATAATTAGGCATAATTAGGCGTATTATAATAAACTTAAATTATCGCGTATATATAATAAATTGAAAGATCATAATTTACTTAAGAATAAAATAATATTTTAAACTAAAAATATATTTAAATTATATAATATGCTTCCGAAATATTAAATTAAAATGTTATCCCAAATGAAGATTCCATTTCTTATAAAAATTTATTAATTTCTTAACAAGTAACATTTAAAAATTTAAATTAGAATTATTTATCTTATAAAATTGATGATGATAAAACTAGCAAATAAAATACTGAATAAACTTAAAACAAAATTTTTAATGTATAGTTCAAGTAGTATCCTCCTAATATTGTAAAGTATGACGAATAGTTTCCTTATTAAGAAAATTAAGAATATCCTATATACGATAAATCTATTACATATTCTGAAATTGATAAAGATAATAAATAAATAAATACTTAATATCATACGAAATTTAATAACTAATATAATTTAAGTTAACCTGTTTAAAATAACAATAATTTATAGTGTATATCATTTGTGAAAAGTAAATGGACAACGAATAATTGTTTAAAATATTTAAAATAAAACGATAATAAATCTACAAACTAAATTTCCTGTATATGTAGTTCTTAAGGTAAATAAACTCTTGTAAATGATTTAAAAGGAATATTTACTGATAATGAGAATTTATAAAATATTTTTTCTGATAAAGGAATATAAAATATATAGAATTTACATAATTGGTATGAATATTCTTCTATTTGGATTTCCGGCTTACTTATTTTTGTTTATTTTTATTTATATTTTGTATTAAAAAAGCGAGATAAATAAGAAAATGACATTTTTAAAAATACTTAAATCAAACAAAATTAATTAGCTGAATTATTATTTTCGCAAGAATTAAATTAAAAACAGAAAGAAGCATAATTAGCAGATTTAATAAATTTTTAACAAAAGCACGAATAAAGTAAATATATATATATATTCTTATATTTTTTAAAATTCTTAAATATAAAAAGAATTAATAAATGATATCGACTTTGATGTGAAAAATTTATAAATTAGTCCAAATAAAAAATTTTCCCCTATTTATAAATATTAATCTTATTCTAAACATGATAAAAATATAAATTAAAATAATGATTTTATTTATAATGTTTAAAATTTAGAAATTGGGTAAGGATGGACTAAACATTTAAATGAATAAGATATTGATTAAAGAAATAATTAATAAGATATTGACTAATAACAAGATGACTTCGATTAAAATGAATAAGAAATTAGCTAAAAATAAAATGAATTAAAACTTAGTTAACAATAAATTAATATTATAAATAAAATCGAATAAGGATTAGAAAAATAAAATAATATACGTTAAAATAATAAAATTCCAAGAAAGCTTTGTTAAAATAAAATCCGAATTTCTTAAAAAAATAAATTGCAACTATTATTTTAAAATAATAAAAAAGAAAAAAGTTTTAATTAAAATGATATAAAATGTAGTAATAAAAGTTTTGGAATACTAAAAAATTTAATCAAATAAAATATATAAATATTTCCTACTTAAGTAAAAATTGAAAGCGTTAAAAATATAGAAATGGGTATTTTTTTTATTGTATATATATTTTTTTTTATTAATAAACAAAAGCAAATAATGATTAAAATATGATAGAAGAAGATGGACTTAATATTAGTTAAGAATAATTTAATTATTTACTTAATAGAATTAAATTAAATAGATTTTTCTATTTTATAAGATTGCATGGACTTTTAGAAATATTCACTTTATATGATTAAAATTTAAGCCGAGTTACAAGATTAACTCTTTAATATTTTAAATTAGTATTATCAATGGTTGTTAATTGTGTATTTGTCTAAGAATACACTATTCCTTAGAAAATTTTTCTTAACTTTTCTTTAGCATTTCTATCGAATATTGTAAACAAAATAATAAGTATAACATTTTAAGCTAAAAATAAAATTGTAAGACTAATAGGAATTTTGTTTTTAATTTCTGTTATTATGTTTTTGTATTATTCTCTATTAGTTTCTATTTCTTTAACTAATTCTTAAGCTTCAAATTAATGGTTATTATTTTATACATTAGGCATTTTTTTCGACACATTTTTAATTGGCGTGAGTTTATCAGCAATAAGATATTATATTTTGATAATCTCTTTATAGATTACTAATTACAATAATTATATTAAAATTATTAGGACATTATTTAAGGCATTTAAATTAGAAATTTAATTGATGTAACACTTTTAGATTAAATATTTATAATGATTATTAAAATATTTAAGCAACAATATAATATTTATTTATTATTTTTTTTAAAATAAAATTATATTTTAAAAAATTAAATTCTTTGAATATAAATTAATTTAAATATTTTTATTTGTTTTCTTCTCTATATATTTTTAAATAAAACTAAAAATTATTTAAAAAGATAAAAATGATATATTAATTTCTTTTTACTTCAAAAATTATGCCTTTAGTTAATTTTTTTTTTTCTAACATAAAAAAATATAATATATATAAAAGATTTAAAAATATTCTTTTTAACTATTCATTCCATTAAAAAAATTATGTTATATTATAAATTATTCATTAATAAGTTTTTTCTTCTTCTTAATTTTCCTATTCAGCTGTATCTAACTCCCTACCTAAAGTATCATAAGGAATAATAAAATCAACTAGCGCAGTTAAAAAGCTCAAACAGGTAAAAAGTAAAAAAGGCAAAAAAATGTCTGTTTTTTACAATGCCATACAAATCCAAGGCATAATCCCACCCCCTGATCTTCCTATTCCATTAGCCATTCCAACTCCTGTAGTTCTAATTTTAGTCGAATATATTTCTGCAGTAAATTAATATGCAAATATAAAGGACATACTAAGGAAAAATTTACATCCAGATGCCCAGAATACGAAATGACTACCGGCATCAATATAGACTATAATAGATGAAATTCCCTATAAAGTATAACAGATTATCATAGAATTTTTCCTACCTAATCCTTTAATTTCTATTAAATAAGAGGCGATACAAGCTGATATAATTTCAGATAAAGTGCTAAAGGCTAGTTTCACGATATCACTGAAATAATTTTTATCTTCTTAATCAGGATGCATTTTTTCAATTTCTTCCATCATTTTAGGCATCATAGTTAATACTCCATAGTACATAAAAGACAATGTGAACCAATTAAACCATATTAAAGGGGTTAATATTTTCCCATCATTTTAAAATAAAGAAAGTATACTCCCTTTTACCTAATGGAGTTGTTTATTCATTAAAATTGATGACTCTTTTAGTTATTATTTTTATTCTTCGGTTAATTCTCCCATTCGGTTACCGTTTATCCTATTTATTTTGTTTATTATAGTAAAGGCTTATTCATATTTACCATCCATTAAAGCATATCGGCCACTTTCGTCGAGGAAAAATACACCCAATAACCAGGCTACTAATCCAGGTAAACCAGTAAATATTATCAAAAGTCTCCAGTTTCCATGAGAAAGGTTTTCTAGTGTAAAATAACTGACGAATTAGCCATATAATTGGCCTATAGCGAAACTTACAGTCACTAGACTCATAAATCTACCTCTTACTTCTAAAGGAGTTATTTCTGCTAATAGAGTTACTCCTAAAGGTCCAAAAAAGCCAACTAAATTATTTTATTTTTAAATATCTTTTTTATATTTTAATTTACCTAATAATGCAGAAAGAAACCTAAGAATTATTAATTAAACTATGTTGGTTGTAAAAGCTTGTAGAATAGTAAAAATCGCGGTACAAAAACTACTTACTATAAATGGCTTTTTTCTTCCGTATCTATCTGCAAATTAACCACTTATAACTGATCCTAATAAAAAACCTATAAAAACTAAGCATACTTAGATGGTATTAACTTCCTCTTTTACTTCCCATTCATTTTTTAATATAGGTATCATTATTGTAAATACAGATACTTATGCACCTTCTGTCAATCCTAAAGTAGCCATGATTATATAAAATAAATACTGATATATTCCTATGCCTATTTTTGATAATATCTGATCAAAAGTAATATATTGCAATTGTTTATTATTTAAAGGAGGAATCTAAGATTGGGAATCTTATTAATTTTCAATTTTAAGGAGTATTACCTTTAATGCTTAATTTTGCAAATTGAAAATGGCCTGATTAGTTTTGTTGCGGGAATTCTAAATTGCTTTTTTTTTGGGTTATTTATTCGGAATTATAAAAATTATTGGGCTCAATACATGATTTAAAATCAGTATTGTCTTCGTTGTTGTTTGATGGATGTAAACTAGAGGAAGATTAAACAAGATTTTGTACTAGTGTTTATTGTAAAGTATTATTTAAATTTTATTAATTCATAATTTAATTTTGATTTTGCTTTATGTATATTTATATATAATATATAAAATAATAATAATTTTATTTAATTTAATTTATAATTTATTATTTATATATTTAATTTTATTTATTTTATAAATAATATATATCATATAATTGTATTGTTGTATTTTATAAAAAAATAATGATTAATACTTTATATTTGAAATTTGATAATTTGAAAATAATTGTTTGATATGAAAAATAAATATTTTTAAAAATAAAATTATCTTTATAAAAAAAAATATATTGTAATTATATTTATATAATAAAAAAAAAAAAAAAAACTTAAAATATATAAATAAATAAATATAAAAAAAAATATATATTTAAATATATATGTTATTATATGATTTATAAATATACTAATTATAAAAATAAAAAATAAAAAATATAAATATATAAAAAAAAAAAATTAATAAATAAAAAAAAAAAAAATACATAAATATATAAATAAATATATTTAATATTAAAAAAATGTAAATATAAAATTGTATATATATATAAATATTTTTAAATATATATATATTATATTTATATATATATATATATTTTATTTATATTTATAATTTTTTTTAACTTTATTTTTATTTTATAGATATTTTATTTATGTATAAAATCATATCTTTAAATTTATATTTATATATTTATTAATATAAATATTAATTAATATAAAAAGATAATGCAATAAACCTAATAAGTTTTTAGACAAATCTATAAATATTGTGAACCTTTCCGTACTGGAAACTTAAAAGTATCTTAAGTCCACACTATATACTGGGAAATATCTGGTAATCCAGAAGGTTTACCTGTTGTTATTCTTCACGGTGGTCCCGGTGGTGGTAGTTTGCCATTTTACAGAGGTTTTTTTGACCCCTAAATATACAAAATAGTTTAATTCGACTAACGAGGAAGTGGTAAATCAACTCCTTTTGCCTGTTTAGAGGAAAATACTACATGGCATTTAGTAGAAGATATCGAAAAACTTAGAGAACATTTAGAAATAAAAAAATGGCATACCGTATTTGGCGGAAGTTGGGGTTCTACATTATCTTTAGCTTACGCATAAACTCACCCTGATAATGTAGGTCATTTAATCATAAGAGGTGTATTTATGGTAAGGAGAAAAGAGATTGAATTTTTCTATTAAGAAGGATCAGATTGGATTTTTCCAGATTTTCATGAAGAGTTTAAAAATTTACTTCCAGAAGTTGAGAAAGGACATATTTTACATAATTATTATAGAAGACTGACTGGAAATAATGAAGAAGAAAAATTAAAATTTGCAAAAGCTTGGACAAAATGGGAAATGGCAACTTCTAAATTATTAGTAGATTAAGAAAATATAAAAAAAGGTGAAAATGATTTATTTGCTATTGCCTTTGCAAGAATTGAAACTCATTATTTTGTACATGGGGCTTTTTTTAAATCAGAAAATCATATATTAGATAATTGTGATAAAATTTAACATATTCCTACTGTTATTGTTTAGGGAAGATATGATGTCGTTTGCCCGGCTAAATCAGCTTGGGAATTACATAAGAAATTACCAAATTCTTAATTAAATATTATACCAGATGCAGGACATAGTTGTTCTGAAAAAGGAATTATTAATGCTTTGGTTGAAGCTACAGATTAGTTTAAAAATAATAAAATTTGATAAATTTTTATTTTATATTTATTAAAATAAATATTGATATAAATTATTTATTTATCATTGTTGTTTTAATTAAATTTAAAAAATAAATGATCATTTAAAATAAGTGACCTTATTTTATATTAAAAAACATATTTAAAAAAATTTACTTAATAGTAATACATATAAATATATTAATTTTTAGAATTAAAAGTTTAATAATGTTAAATGTTAATAAATATAAATATTATGATTTATATAATTTAATTTATATTATTTTTTATTTATAATTAATATATATATATATATATTTATATATATATATATTTTTATATAGTTTCATATATATTCATATTATTTAATATAATTATTAATTATAAGAAATAAAAAAATCAAATTTATAAAATACAAAAAAAAAAAAATTAAAAGTAAGTCTAAATCTAAAAATACAAAACAAAATTAATATATATATATATAACAAAAAACAAATTAAAAAAAAAAAAAAACAATATTTATAAAAAATGTCCGAATAAAACGACGATGTTGATTACCAAGCAGGAGACGCCGGTAGTTCTCATGTTTATCCTATGTAAGCCGGTAATATTAAGAAAGGTTCATATGCATTGTTGAAAGGTTTCCCTTGCAAAGTAATTGAAATGACAACTTGCAAAGCTGGAAAACATGGTCATGCTAAAGCAACTATTGTCGGTGTTGATATTTTCACAGGAAAAAAATACGAAGATTCATGCCCTACTTCTCATAATATGGAAATTCCTTTTGTTAAAAAAACTGAATATTAATTAATTGATATTGCAAATGATGGATATGTCACCTTTTTATTAGAAAACGGAGAGACTAAAGAAGATTTGAAATTACCTGAAGATGATCTTGAATTATGTGCTTAAATTAGAGCTGATTTCGAAGCTGGAAAAGAAATTTTAGTTGCTGTTACTTAATCTATGGGAATGGAGAAAATCTGCGCTTTTAGAGAAGCAGCTGGTGCTAAATCTTGAATTTTTTTTTATTTATAAATATTAATTTTATAATTATTTAAATGTAATTTTTTTTTTTTTTTAATGAAGTATATGTTTTTATTTTTGGAAGTGAAGTATTTTTTTAAATAAAATTGTTTTTTTTTGTTTTTATGTTTTTATTTTATAATTTTTATGAAAGGAATAACTTTATTATTTTTGAATTATTTCATAAAGGAAAATCTATATATATTAATTTTTTTATTTTAGTAAGTTTTTTTATTTTTTTCATTTTTTTTATTTTTTTTTAAAAAAAATCAAAGAAAAAAAAAAAACTAAAGATACAAAAATTTTATCTTTATATTTTTAATTTTTTATTATTATAAAAAATTATTATTTTTTTAATATAAATAATAATAATGATTTTTTATATAATTATATTTAAATTAAAAATAATTAATAATATATATTATTTTTTGTAATTACTTATATATATAAAAAAATAATTAAAAAAAAATATTATATATAATTTTGAAGTTAAATTATTTCAATTTTTAATATTAAAATATAATTATTTTTATATTAAATAAATATAAAAAAACATTAGTTAAATATTTATAAAAAATAGTTTCAAAAGTTTAATATTATTTAAAAAAAAACAACAGTTTCTAAATTTATAAAAAATATAATATTGCAGAAAGCTATGAAAAATTATAAATTTGATAATATAAATAAAAAAAAAAAATTTTTTCAAGTAAAACAAAAAAATATAATTCAAAAAATTATATAATATATTTATAAACAAAGTATTTGATATAGGCAAATTAAGTAAATATTGTTATTTGAATTAAAAAAATTAAAGTTTCTATTTAAAATAAATCACTTAAATAAAATAAAAAATTATATTAAATTAAAATTTAATTTTTTAAATATTTCAATATATTAAGAATTTTTCGAATAAAAAAAAATTAAAAAAAATTTTAGAAAATACTTATTAAAATAAAAATTTAGAAAAAATAAAATAATATAATAAATAAATAGTAATATTAACATATTCCAAATTAAATAATTTTAATTAATTAATAAATAATAAAAAATATTTTATTTAATTCTTGAAATTAAATAAAATTTAGATATTTATTAATTAATAATAAAAAAAAAATCTGTAATTAACTTTTGATAATCCTTTAATAAAAAAAAAAAATTAAGAAATAAAAGATAAAGTAAATAAAAATTAAAAAAAAAGAAGAAAAAATAAATAAAAAAAATCATGAATATAAAAATAAAAAAAAATAAGATAAACATTAATTGAATATTTTTTTAATAAAAAAAAAATATAATAGTATAATAATTTTATAAAAAAAAGTTAGATAAAAATATCAATTTTTTATATTAATATTTATATATTATCAAAATATATATATATATTTAAATATAATTTTAGAAATATCTTGTTAATGGTTTAGATTATAATTTTATTTTTTTTAAATATATTAGCAATATTTCAGATTAATAATATAAAATATAAAGATAAATTTAAAAATTTTAAATATTTATTTATGGTTATGAAATTTATATTGTATATATAAGTTTTAACAAATTTTTAATATAAAATTTAAAAGATTTATGAATTTTAATTTTATAAAATTTATAATATTAAATTAAAAACCCATTAAAAATTAAAAATTAAAATAATAAATGTTATTAATATAAAAGCTAATTTATAAAAAGCAAATAAAAATAAATATAAAAAAAAATTAATTCGTTTTGATGACAAAAAGCCAAATAGTGACATTAAAAAAATGGACATTATCAATGATAGGACTGAATTTTAAAAATATATATATATATATATATTTTTAATATAATTAATTTTAAATATAAATAATACATTTTATATTAATATATATATATTTTATATATTTTTATAGTATTTTTAATTATATAATAAAAATGTTATTTGAATTAAATTTATATATTTATGTAAATTATTATTTTTATAATAGTTTACATTTATATTTATTATTATTAAATAATTAATTTCCCTAATTTTTATGTCAATAAATTTTCTCATCTTTTTCATTAAAAATATTAATATAATCTTTAAATTTCAAATTTCAAATTTTTATTTTATGTTTTATTTTAATAAAGTGAAAATAATTAATGTGATTTTGAAAGAATGACAAGTGAAATACGAAATTTGATTTAAAATTTATAGCCATTAAATAATAATTATATTAATAAATTTAAATTAATTCTAATAAGATAAAATAAATGATGAATTCTGAGTTTTATTATTATAAAATTTATTGCAGAAAATAAATTTGTATTAATTTAAAATATATGTGAATATTATATAATTTACTAAAACTTAAAATATATTAATACAAGAGAAAAATATTATTAAATATAAAAAAATATTTGGGTTTATATTTCTATTAAAGTTTGCATAATAATAAATATGTTAAATGTTTTATAAAAAAATTAAAAATAAACTTCAATATATTGCAGCTTTTTAAGAAAAAATTTTTTTAAGAAATTATAAATTAATAAATTTAAAAGAATGATTTAGATATTATTATTTTTTATTTGGTGTTTTCTAGAGAAAAATACATTTAGTTTTTCGACTTTTATGAATTTTATTTTATAAGATAAAATTATATATTATAAAAATTGGGAATTTTGAAAATAATAAAATATAGAGGTTTATGTGTAAAAAAAACAAATGGAAAGTAAGTATATGTATAAAAAGAGTTGTATAAAATAAATATATATATTTAATTATATACATCTTATATTTTTTACATTTAGACATGATATTGTTTTAATTTAAATTAAAATTAAAATGGAATTATGCAAATGATTATAAAAATTATATAAAATTATAATAAATAAATAATATATATATATATATTTATATATAATTATTGTAAAAAAATTAAATAAATGCTATTTTGTTTTAATTTTTTTTTTAAAAAAAAATTAATTATTATTTATACTAGATTAATTATGTTTTTAATAGATTCACAATTATTTTATAATCCAATATAATTTTAGCCTTCAAAAATTATTTTCAATTATTTATTTTTATTAATTTTTTTTTTCTTTTGATTATATTATATTAATTTTATTTTTAAAATTATTTGTAATTAAATTTTCAATAATATTATAAGATAATTATATAAATGAATAACTAAATTCTAATAATAATAGTAAAGAAAATCAAAAAAATATTTTAATTATTAACATACTTATCAAAATTAATAACAAAATATTTTTATATAATTTAAGAGAATAATAATGACTTAAATAAATGCTTATTATTAAATAATATTAAAATATATAATAAAATACTTCTAAATATATTTATTATTTTTCTATATAATATACAATTATTTGATTTCATTTATAAATAATTATCTTCTATATTATAAAAAGATATATTTCTTAATTCAAAATTTATTAAAATACTTATAAATTACAACATCATTTCATTTTTTGGAAATTTTAAACTTTTATAAATTATAAATATTAAATATTTATGTGTTCCATAACAGTTTGAATGTTTTCCTAAGGCAACCATAAAATATACTTTATTTTATTTTAATTTAAAATAAATACATGATCTAAAATATAATATCAATTAAATGACATTAACCATATAATATAATTTCAAGTTAAATATTTATGACTTATATATTTAATATTTGATATGTAAGTAATATTTAATACATATATATTTTCCTTATTTTAAACTATAAGGCAATGAAATTTTGTATTTAAAAATTATTTTTATATAATTAAATATATGTGATTTTTTTAATATGAAATTTATATCTAGAAGAATATTTTATTTATATATAATATAAATTACTTTAACAGACTTAAATAAATTTTTTTTATTATATATACAATATAATAATTATTATTTTTTATTTTGGGAAATCTATTATTATTTTGTTTTTTTCTTTATATTATATTGTTATAAAATTTAAATATACAGAGAAATATGAGATATTTAGATTTATATTTATATTTGAAGTAATTATTATTTATATTTTCTTTCATTCATAAATTTTTAATATTTACTATTAGAATATTAGTGTATAATATTAAAAAAAAATATTATATAATCTTACTATAATTATTTTGTTAATCGACATTAATGATTTCTCAAAACAATAAATGATTACTTAAGTTTAAATTTTTTGTTTAGAAATTATTATTTAGTTTATCTTCAGTTACTTATATATAGATTTAAACCAAAAATAAATATATTTTTTAACTCCTATAATATGTAAATGTATTTAGGCTTATAATCAAATCAAGTTTTTTTTTGTAATGAATTTAATTTATTGATTCTGTGAAAGTATATTCATTCAGTTATAAAAATTTTTTTTTGGGTAAAGCCTTGTTTTTTAATTTACTTTTGTTTTAATTTCATATTATCATATGTGTTAGAATATGTATTTATAATTTTATATATTTAATATGTCAATATATATTTAAATTTATTATTTTTCTTATATTTTAAAATATGTTAAATTATTTTATCAATTTTATGTTGACATTTTATAAATTTAATTATTATATAATTTTTAATGTTTTATTTGATTTTTTCTTTTTATTTATAATTAAAAATGAAATAATTTTAAACTTAAAAAACAAAAAAAATAATATATTGAATAGGAAATTTATTATTTAAATATAAATACATATATATTTTTATATATATATATATTGTTAAAGTACAAATTCAATATATTTTATATAAAAAATATAAATTATTAAAGTTTATAATTAATTTAAATAATTTTTTTTTTTTTTTAAATAAATTTAAATATAAAATTGTTTTTTTTAAATAAATAAATATATAAATGAATCATAAAGTTTCATGTGCATATCATTCTAATTTTGTAATAACAAATTTCTGTGAAGAACCAAAATGTTTAATGCCTTTATGTCCAAAATGTCTTCAAATACATATATAATAACACCAAAAATACTAAACATATGGTTAATTTTCATTAATAGAGGATGTATTTGAAAAAGCTTAGAAATTAATAAAACAAAAAATATAACAAATATAAAAAGAAGCTTAATAAATTCAAAAAAAGCAAAAATATTAATATGAACAAAAAGAATATATCAAAAAATGAAATAATGTAAAAAATAAATTAATATATTGATTATATATAAATATATTTAAATATATAAAAGATAAGCAAGAAAAAAATAATAGAATTAATAGACTTTTTTTTTAATAATTTAGAAAAAATAGTGAAATAATGTTAACTTAAATGAATTCTTAATATGATGAAAGTTCGAATTTAACAAAAAAAAAATTAAAATTAACTTCAAATCTTCTAATAATATTTAGATGGGATGTAAAATAAAGAAAAGTGTTTGGCTAGTTTAATTAAGGTTTTTTCTGAATTTAAAACTTTTTAGAAAGAAAGTAAAAAATAAGATGAATAACTATAAGAAGAAGAAGAAAATTAATAAGAAAATTCAAACGAAAATGAAAAAAAATGACAATTTAACTATACTTGAATTTAGAGAAATTATAAGAAATAAATTTAATATTAAATTAATTTGCAAAGTTAAGTTATATAGGTTAAAGTTAAAAAAAGCAAGTTTCGTTTGAATCATAATAATAATAAAAGGGAATTATTAAATACAAGAAAATGTAATTATAAGAAGAATAAGAAGAAAATAAAGAAGAATACGAAGAAGAACAAGAATTAGAAGAAGAATTATAAAAAAAAGAAAATTTAAAAAATAAAGATAATTAATAAACTTTTTTAAAAAAACCGGAAGATATTTATTTTTTGGACGACCCTGAAATAATTACAATAAGAAAAAGAAGAGAAGAAAGAAGAATAAGATCAGAATTAAGAGAAATCGGCAAAAAAAAATCTTCAAATAATAATAAAGAAAACGAAAAAGATTGTTATATAGATTAATATGAAAGACATGTATAGGATTTCTAAAAAAAATAATCTTAAATTTAAAAAGAAAAATCAAAAAAATTTGAATTTTAAAAATAATAATAATAATAATAATAAATATAATAATAATAATAATAATAATAATAATAATAATAATTGTTATACAAAAAAATAAATAGGAAATAGTACCTAATGATTATAATGTTTTTGCTATCTAAAAACCTTCAGGCGACTTATAAAGGTGGGCTAAACCTGAGGAATTATAATTTAATTAATTACTTTAGAAATAATCTTTGTAACTTGAAAAAGAGTTCTAAGATTAATAAATTCAACTTTATTCAAATGTAATTAATCATTAAATTCAAAACGATAGGAAAAACTAGATTGTGTCTTCGCCGGATATAGGATTTGATTAAAGTAATGGTATTGTAAATAATTTGTCGCCGGAAAGATTTAAAAATATTTAAAGTTATAGTGTTGGTTTGAGATAAAATAATGATAGGAGATTCTTTAATGGATAGGTACAACCTCATTATTATTGATTTTTTTGTTTAAGCAAATTAAAATTTTTATCCATTATTTTTAAAAAAATAATTTTTATTATTTTTTATAATTTTTTTTCAAACAAATTCAATAAAAATATAATGTGAGAAAAACTGGTTATGGATACTAAAAGAATTTTTTTTTAATCAAGCTTTTAAAAAATTATAAAAAAAAATAATAAAAAAAAATAATATTAAAAAAAATATATATTTTGTTTAGTTTAAATATTTTAAATTATTAATAAATTATTTATATATTTTTAAATAAAAAAATATAAAAATAAATTATTTTTATATAAATAAAATATAATGATTATTATAAATATATTTAAATACATATGTATTAAATATTAAATATTAAAATTAAAATTTTATATTTCTAAAATTGAAATAAATTTAATTTTTTACTAAACGATTGAACAAAATGATCAAATATATATAAAAATTAAATATTATATATTAATTATAATATGAAAATATTATATAATTTTTCAAAAATAGTATATTTTAATAATATAAACAAATTTTTGTAATAATTATAAAAATTATTTTTAATGATTTATAAGTATTTTTTTTTGATAAATTTATTATATTTAATATAAATACGATAAAAAATAAATTAAACTAATTTTTCTTATTAATATATGGCAATCTATATATCTTCTTTATATTCGAAAATTATTTTTATTCTTTTTATTTGAAAAATTATTTAAATAAACTAAAAAAAATTATTTTTAATTATTATCTAATACGAAGTATGAATAATTCTTAATTTTGCATAAAGTGATTTGATAACTGAGCACACATATGATTATCTAAATCAAATTTGAAATTTTATAAAAAAATGTTTAATAAGTAATCTTTAGTTGATTTTAATAAAAATATTTGAATTTTATAAATTATTAATTATAAACATAAAATGAAATTTTTTAATCTTTGAATATATGATTTAGTTTTATAAGTCAGATGTAAAAAATAGATAAAAAAAAAAAAATTAAATAATATAAAAAAATAATATTTAAACTAAATAATGAGTAAAAAATATTAAAAAATAAAAATAAAAAATAATATAAAAAAATAAATCTTTAAAACATATTAAAAGTATAAAATGTATATATAATAAAAAAAAATATTTTGATGAGATAAAATAGAAAAAATAAAAATATATCTAATAAAAAATAAATAAATATAAATAATAATAATAATAATAATAATAAAAAATTATTAAGTAAAATAAAATAAAATAAAATTAAAATATATATAAAATAAATATTATTATATTTATAATAAGTTATAATAAAAATATTATATAACTTAGAGAAAATAAAAATATAATAATTGATTATAAAAAAATTAATTAAATATAAAAAAAATAATTATTACATTATATATATATATATAAAATATATACATATATTTATCTAACATTCATTTAATCAATATATAATTTTATTTTATATATTTATTTATCTTTTAATGTAATATTAGTTAGTACAAATATAAATATTAATTAATATTTTTCCATATGTATAAAAAATTATAAATAATATATAAATAAATTTTGTATTTATATTTTAAAATGACAATAAACATATTATTTTTAATAATATTTATTATTAATATATAATTCATAAATAAACTAAAATAAATTATTTTAAATCATCATTTTTTATTAATATTATTTTTTATTTTTTTTATTTATTTGTAAAAATTTGTAAATTTTATATTTTATATTGTTGATAAATTAATAAGTATCTAAAAATATAATCAATACAAAATATAAAATATTTATTTTTAATTATTCTAAATAAATTAAATTAAATTTATAATCAAAAAATATATCATTTTAAAATTATATGTATACAAAAAAATTCTTTAAAATAAAACAAAATAAAATAAAATAATAAATGCTTATTTATTTATTTTTATTTATTTTTTTCTTTAGTCATATTTTAGCTTAAAATATTTCACTTTCATGCGTTATAAAATACTAATTAAGTACTAAAGAATGTGTACCTGATTTTTCATAAAATATAAATAATTAGTCTAATTCTATATAAGCTATATTTACTTTACAAAATTCTCCAGGAATTGTCAAATATAATTGTCCTAAAGATTGTGAAATTAATTTTACTGTAATATTGCATAATAGATCTGCGCATTTATTTGGCTTATATGCTATATATTCAAACAATACATCACCTAAACTTAAAAGAGGTTGTTTAATAGCAAAAAATAATTAATTTAAAGATAAAAATGATTCATATCTTGAAGAAAGTTTTTATTATTAGGCTTATATTGATAAGTAAAATGTTTATTTAAAATTTAAAAATAATATTGATAATAGTAAACTAGAAATATATAACTTAACTTTAAATTTATATTTATGTGTTTAAAATTGTATAAAATGCACATCATTAAAAGTTTGCTAAGAATGTTTACCATAATATTTTGTCTCAAAAAAAAGTGATGGGTCTCATTAATGTCTTTTAACTGAATTAGGTTGCTTAAAATACAATGATTCTTAATGTATTGAATGTGCCTTACCTTAATATTTTTCTAATACATCAAAAGGAAAATGTATTAATAATAAAAAAATAATTACAATTGCTTAATTTAGTGATAATTTTGAATAATTAATAATTGTTTTTGGAAATTCAAGTGATAAGCCATAATTTAAACTAAATATAAGTAATCCAAAAATTTAAGGTGATAAAGAATAAAATTAGTTTACTCTTGAATTATGTTAAGAGCTTTTTATTTTAGATAAGCTATAAGGAAATATTTCTTGTAATTTTATTTATTAAAATCAAATTACAATTAGATTAGATCCTTTGAAGTGTACAATAAATAAAGGAGATATAATATAAATGTAACCTAATAAAATATAATAAATATACATGAATGATAAAGTTACAAACTTCTTTACAGAAATTTCATAAACAGTAGCATATAGTTCAAATCCAAAGAGTGCTGAGGCATAACTAGTTTAAACAACAAATATGTATAGCCACTAAGAAGGAAAAATCGAAATTACTTAAATTTAAAATATAGGAAATAAATCATTTAAATCAATTACATGGTCCTTATAATCATGCTCGGTTTTAAATTAAGATGAAATAGATTAGTTTAATAATAAGTTTATTAATGGATAATAAAATAATATTTCTATAACTTTGCCATCTTTTTCGTTATTAAATGATGCATAATATTAATTTAATGTTAATGCAGTTTCATTTTATGAATAAAAATATACTGATACTACATCTATAAATGTTTATGCTAACTATAATATTAAGCTAGAAATATAAAATGGATTAATTGTAATTTATAGATATTAAGAAATTAATATATAGTTTAGTTTTAATACTTTTAAATATGTAAAAAATATAGGCTTTGATTAGAAAGTAGATGATGAATATGAACTTACAATTGAACAAGTGGACAATAAGGATTAGGATTTGGGAATAACATAATCACTAAGACTTAAAGAAAATACCTATTCATTCTCTATAAAGCCTTTTACGGTGAAAGTAAATATTAATTATAATATAAGAATTGGTATTAGATCACTTAATTTTTAAATTCCTGATATTAATTAAATAATAACGCTTGAAGTAAAATAAACAGATTTAATCGTATAAATTTATGGAGGAAGTAGGATGTAATCCGTTTCTTAAGTTACTTAATTTGAAGGTTATTTAGATGATATAGATATAAATGAATAAGAAAAAGAAATATAAATAAAAAACAATTTCGGAGCAACAATATAATGGAGATGTATTAATGTAAGTGAGGGAGGAAAACAATGTTTAGATTAATAAGGCAATCCAATTGTTTTATAATAATTATAAGGTATCGCAATGTAAGTTGAAAAAAACGTTCTAAATCCTTATTGTGTTTACAGTTTTGTTTTGTCAGCTGAAAGAGGAAATAAATTTTTTTCTTATGATGTGATAATCTAAGCAGTTGAGTATGAAATTCCTGCTATAAAAAGTTTTATTTCGATAAAAAATTTAAATAAAAAAGTATGTTTAAATTAATAAGTATACGTTTAATTAAAATAAGAAGGAACTTAATAAAATACAGACAATGTTTTTTATACTGGAACTATTTTATACAAAAATGAAGTAAAAAATACAATGAAATTCAAATATGATTAAGTTAGATTTAAATTTTGGAAATATTTAGCTGATTTTTAAACTGGAGATGATAATTAGTTTTAATTACGATTTACTGTTAATAATCCATCATTTATGATGCCTGCTATAATAACTTATAATTTAAAAGCAAATAATTACTATAAGAATTGTAAAATTTAAGAAAAAAATAATAATTTTTAAGGAGAAAGTTTAAAAACGAAATTTAATTTTTTTATTAGTGATTGTTAAAATTTAGAATTTAAAATTAAATATTCTTTTTATTACTATAAAAGCTAAAATGAATATCAAAAAGAAATTGATAATGAATTATAAACTAAAAGATAATTATTAATAGAAAATTTAGAGACTAATGATTTTGAAACTGTATTGCCTTTTGGAGCAGAATTATTATTTTGCAAATTAGAAGATTCTTATGGAATAGTTAGGAATATAACTTAAATAGTTAACATAAAATAAAGTCATGTAAATAAAGATTAATATATTACATTTATTGATTAAGCGGTTAATGAAGATAAATAATAAAAAAATAAAGATGAGAAAGAATAATTAACTTTTCTGAATAATGTTTTATTTGATATTATTAATAATAAATAATTTAAAATTTTGAAAGATACTAAGAAAATTTAAAGTATATAAAAGAATATTTTAGATAAATTATTGGCTCTTTAAAATAATTTTTAGACATATGATGGTTATAGATTATAAGT